CTTGTGGGTGGATGACAGTGTGTGTTAGCATCTATGAAGCACAACCCAGAGCCACACGCGCATGATTGATCTGCCTTACTGGATGCCTGGTGTGATAAGAGTTTACGCTTGCCCTTCTCACAAACAATCCCAGATTAGACATGACGAAGTCAATGTTATCGTCGATTTGGAATGGGCGGATTCCCTTATCTTCTTTTGCGATTTCTATTTCCCAGCGCTCTTGACACCTGCACACGCCGGCACAACCAACGTAATTCTCCAGCGAGATTGGGAAGGCGCCGGCAACGCATAGCTGCCCGGCTGCAGAGCTTGGAGCCCTACTTGCTGACCGCCAAGCATCACCAAGCATCAGCTCCCCACAGCGGGAAATTGTCCGGAAGCACAGCTCGAGCACGCAGGAAAACCTTCTAGACAAATATAGTATATATATATATGTATACAGTAAACAGATGTTGTCAAAGATATTGTTGTGGTTTTGGGTGTGCCGCAGCCTTCACCCGAACGAGCTCCTGGACAGAAATGTTGCCAGCTCGGTTCTGGGTTGCTGTTAAGGAATTTAAATTAAGTTACCATAATGGGTATACATAGTAATTAATAGGGTTTCCCCAGTATAGTAACTTGATTTAGGTTCCTTAACAGCAACCCAGTTTAGGGCTGTGAAGGATGTCGCTATGGCTTGCTAAATTTCATTTCCCTTGAACTTCGCGGCACAAAGCCTTGAATCATTCTCGAAGCCGTGGCGGGCCATGTCTTTTCTCGGGCACACGGGAGGTAATGAAATGGGTCGTGGTAGTGCATCTATGAACCGATGCTCCATTGCCGTGGATAACAGACGTGGTTTCAAACAAGATGAATTTTTCTGGAACTTACAGCATGAGTCGGAACCTCTTCAATGATAGTTTTGTTTCGGGCAACTTGCATGCAGCCTTACAGGAAGATCAACGCTCTGGACATCTGAGGTGGTGTGACCTGCTGCTTGCGCTTCCCGGGACAGCTGCCAGGTCGCAAAACGATTTCAAGCCATATATGTTTTCTTATAGTGTCCTTATGCTGTTTACTGGAAATTTGGCTGAAAGAAGCCATATAGGCGGGTTCATATTAGGAGGCCATGTAGGACATGAGGGGGCCCTCGGGAGGTCTTAGGGGATCCTTATAGTTTTCCGTCCACTGATATTGAGTCGTCCCTAGTGATGCTTGCATGGGAAAAACGCAAGGCGGCCGGACCTGAAATCATCTGCCTTGGATCTGGTAGCCTCAATGGGATATATACGGTTATTTTGGGTTTACATACTGCTTTGTCGGATAAAAGATCGGGGATACATAATATGTACAAGAAAGTTTGAGATTTCTTTGCCTGCAGACTCAAGCTGCAAGCCTTTGACGTTGAGTTTTTTTCGTGGGCTTGTATAATAGCCCGGCTTCTCTGCGTTGTGTAAGGAGTGTCTTGGCATGGCGTTTGACCTGTAGAACGATAAGGAGTAAAAAGGTAAGGTTCAGTTTTGTAGTGGATATTTAAGAGCCGTCTTCTGATGCGACATCATTATTTTATGATGGCCCCTCAGCTCTTGACCAGTACCAGTGCAATAAATTCTTGAGCATGGCCCTAGATCATGGGAACACGAGGGACCCAAAACGATAACAAAACGATACCAAAAACGATAAG